CGTCAGCCATTTCTGGCCGGCAACTTTCAGCGTCATTAAGCCGCTGCGCCACCACGTCCCCATAGATACATCCTGGCATCTAAATATCTTTTTCAAAACCTTCACTGCTACTCTACTAAGTGCTAGTCTGCAGCATTTTTCTTAACTGCTGGTTCATTTACAGTTGATAATTGATCCTAAAAGACAGAGTCTATCCACCACTTCAATATCTTCACTGTCATTTCTAAGACTGATTGTTCTACCTGTTGTTATTACTTTGGTCTTCTTTATATTTAATCTTAATCCCTTTTTCACTGTTCTCCTTGACTTGTAGAGTCTGAAAACCACTTTTATTGTCAGCTATCAGAATGCCACAAGTTACTGGTCTTTCTTCCTCTAGTTTTAAAACTACACTAATCTTCTTCCAATTTCTTCAAAATATATTCAACGTATACAGTAGCTTGAATAAATAAGAGGAGAGTGTATAGTCTCATTACTTTGCCAACCTGGAGCCATTCTATTTTGCCATGTTCTGTTCGCTTCCTGTCCTGTATATGGGTTACACATAAGGACAATGAGATTTTCTGGGATACATATTTTTCTAAGCATATTCCACAACTTGACATGATCAACACAATCAAAGACCTTCCTATAATCAATGAAGCACATATTAACTTCTTTTTTATGTTCTTTAGCTTTCTCAATTATTCAGAATGCATCAGCAATAATGTCTCATGTTCTGTCGCCTTTTCCAATGCCAGCTTGAACATCTTCCTTTCTATGTAAGACTTTAATCTGCACTGGATGATCCTAAGCATTATTTTCTAGCATGTGAAATTAAGGATATTGTACAATAGTTTGCCGACTGTATTAAGTTTTATATGTATGTATGTATGAATGTACAGTATGTATGTATATGTGTATATATGTTCATAGATTGACATCTTCCAGTCTGTTGACCTCTAGATCTATTGGCATACTTTGGTTAGAATCTTTACAGATTCTTCTTCAGGTGCTTGCTATATTTCTGTAGATATTCCATCAGTTCCTGTAGCCTCCCAACTTGATAATGATTGGAGTGCTGATCTAACTAACATCTTCTAATACTAGGAAGAAACTATTACTTACCATTGATCATATCCACCACTTTTTTTTCATAAACCTTTTATCTCCAAAACTGTAATTGTTGATTAAATATTTTCTGTAAAGTAAAAATTTCCCCATCTTCACCACGTCTCCTCTGTAAAATATGCTTTTTCACTTTGTGCTTTGGAGAAAGACTCTGGATTGCAAATCTAATTCTTTGAAAGATTATTTGAACAAATGAATAGAAACAGTCCCCTTCTTGGAGGTTGAGTTCTAAGTTTATAGATGGCTATGGGTCACTGGGTTGGTTTTTGTATGTGAATTTTTTGGTGGTTGTTTTGTTGTGATACAAAGTATTGTCCTTATTATCATAGATGAAATGTAGATATGGCACAGCTGTTGTTGCTTTTTTCCTTTAAGGATGTCCAGTGCTTATTGTTGCTTTTTCCCTTTAAGGATATCTAGCGAACATTCTCCAAAGCTCCAAATCCGAAGCCACAGTTACTTGAGGGCAGTGAGTGAAGTTTCGATCAACAGGAGTTTGGATAGCTTGGACCCTGCGGCTCTGCTTACGTCTCCTAAGTTCCGTTCCCGGAATGAGAGCTACATGAGGGCGATGAGCACTATTAGTCAGGTGAGTGACATGCTTGTACAATTCAGAAAATAAAGTTAGTACGAAAACACTATCCAGCTCTGATAAACATAGGATCCACATAAGAAAAAGATGCATGGGCAGTTCTGTAATAAAACAAATATATGGCAACTTGTATTATTAAAAATCCCTTAGCTGTATAAATGCCAGTTCCTAACGTTCAATAATATTATAGAGGATATAGAGTCTCAGAATGGAACTGTATAAAATTGGTGACTGGCCATACCAAAATATTCCTCCTGAGTGTGGAATTTTGATTTTTCTCATATGTCAGTAAACATAAATCACTATACTTGGGGAAAACATTGTGATAAAGGCAGAGTGACCATCAAGCAACTTCCATCAGCTTAAGGGCTGAACCAGGTTTGTATGGCACATCAAGGGGTCTACCTCAAATGTGGGTTGGGACAGAGAGGGAATATTAAGTGCTGTAATGTGTGCCTAAAATATATTCAAGGTTTCAGTTGCTCATTATGTCCCTTTAACCCCCTCCCCAATTAAAAAAAGGGTACATATTTGGTCCTCACCCACTTTAGGAGATATAAAAAGAGGTCCTGGTGGGCTGCATAGAATCCTCAAGCAAAAATTTTGTACCCCTGCCATAAACCAGGTAGTATCCCTGAGAAAAAAATGTTTTCAGCTCCTCTCTTCATTTGCTTAACTTCTGACCAGTTTGGGATTTTTAAAATGGTATTTATAACCCCTATCTAGCCTGTGATACATGATTGCTAGGCACCACTGATTCATGAAATATAAGACAATACATCTGCACACAGTGATGTGCCCTTAATCATTCATATACTATACACATTATTTGTTGAATTAACAATTTTTTTCATGTATACCTGCACATGAAACCAGACTACGAATGAAAGCATAACATTGGGTGTACAGATCAATGCTGTCAGTGTGCCTTGGAAATGAAATATTTGTTCCATTTATTTCAGATCTTGCCTGGGTAGAGAAACATAGATGGCTCATGTATACCAAAAAGTGAGGTGTCTGCAGGATTCTAAACTTTTGTGAAAATGACCAAAGCAGTGTCCCCTGCCACACTGCAAATACCACATTTTTCATAAATGTATATAACATTTGCATATATAAAGGGGACAGAGCTTGTGGTGCAATGGCATGACAATTTTTTTGTCATCTACTCCCTACTAATTCCCCTGTGGATGTCCCTGCAAGCAGTGCAGATCCCCAAATCAGTCTTTAGCTGATTAGAAATCTAATCTAAATCTAATCCCTTCCAAATTATTCAATCTGAACCAGCATTCATTAATATGGATTCAGTGGCAAAAAGGAATGCAATCTGCATTTTTTCTAGAGGTATTTATACAATTCATATGTGTGTGTGTGTATGTGCGTGTATGTGTGTATATATACTGTATATATGTGTGTGTGTGTGTATATATATGTGTGTTTGTGTGTGAATCTGTCTGTCTGTCACACTATTCCTTTTGGAGGCAAGCACCATTATGCAAATACACGCAGGGAGTAGGAAATAGTACGATGTTAAAGACATGAGGTAAGGGAAAGAAAGGAAATACAACTAAATCTACTTTATACCAATACCGTTCATATACCACTCCATATGTCTCTATTCTTGCAAGCCATCTTTGCAGCCAACAACCCATAGACCACTTCATACTGGTCATTGACTTTTCTTTACTCTTTACTCTTGTCACTGCTTTCTTGGTAAAGATCTCATAAACTCCATCCAATCATAACAGTTTTGGTCTTTCCCTTTCTCTCTACCCATTATCTTTTCCTTCATATATATGTCTTGCAATTTGATTGTCATTCGTATTTCCTATATGACCAACTACCTGAACATACTTCTTTCATTCTGTCACTCACTTTTGTATTCAGTCCGTATCCATTTGGTAACCATTCATTCTTCATCCTATTTGTTCTTCTTTTACCACACACAATTCTTAAATATCCTATTTTCACTGCAGTCAACTTACTTTTATATTTCACCTGATATAAACAATCCTCAATTTCTTAAAACAGTTGGAAGAAGTATGCACTTATACTTAGCCATTTTCACTTGTTTCAACTGGGCATGTCCAGATGACTCAAATGATCCATGCACATATTCCATATGATTTGTTTTGTCCAGTATTCGGAGCATACTTTTCATACTTCCTATTAGCATAACTCCACAGCCTTATATGTAACATAATTCTTTTCACTCTTTTTCATGCATCTTCCACATCCTTTTGTGACTCAAATGATCCATGCACATATTCCATATGATTTGTTTTGTCCAGTATTCGGAGCATACTTTTCATACTTCCTATTAGCATAACTCCACAGCCTTATATGTAACATAATTCTTTTCACTCTTTTTCATGCATCTTCCACATCCTTTTGCCTTACATCCACTTTCCATTCATTCTGCTGGGAGTCATACTTTCTTTTCTGTGGTTTTATTTTCACTCTATTTTCTTTTGCTTTGTTCTTTTTCTTCATAGTCCACTTTTTCCAAGATCCACTTGACACCTCCAAAAAATGGTTTGTCCAGCTTTGTATCCTTCACTAATTGTCTCAAACTTTCATCATAAACAATGAAATCAGTCATACTTTAAGATTTGCATTCATCTGTTTGCCATGTGTATACATGAACTGATCCTGGTAGTGTTTTTCTTAAACACTACATTTGAAATAGACTTTTGGTCATCATTCTCATTCATTCTTAGTCTTCAAATACCTCAGTTATTCTTTCTATTCCCTCTTGTCTTGTTTCCAGCCATCCAATTATGTCACTTAACAGAATATTTTTCCCCCTATGGATCTTATTCATTCAAAATTATTGCACAATTTTCAGTTTTTCATCTTTGGTTCTTCCATTAACACCATTCACTGGAGCATAACATTCACCTTAACTTCCTTGTGTGTATTAATCAGCTTCACTCCACAAGATCAGACTACCTTCATTCAGATGTATTACAGAAGTATTCTTACTTCCCCTTTCTTTTTATCTTAGTGACAGACGTACAATCTATCTATTGTAGTTGCTTTTCCTTCTCTTCTGTCAATTCATATTCTTCATCATTTTCTTCTCTTAAATTCCAAAATGAAATCTTCCATATGCTATAGTAGTCACCAGATAGGGCCATAGATATTGGTCTTTTTTACCCATTGTGGCATTATTCAATCATTATTCAACAATTATTCAATCATAATCATTTTTTGTAATATACAGTACCAGTTGGTTCTTGTACATTTTGGCCAGCATGCCACAAATGCAACTATAGTCCAATTTTATACCAAGCATGCTTATGCTGTTCTGTACAACCTAGGATCTTTAAAAATTACATTGCAAGCCAACACCAGGTGCCCATATCCTATCAACTCAAGGCAGCTCACAGGTTCTTGATTTGATCACTTTTGTTGAATATATCCTGTTTTAAATATTTTAGTTATTTTGCTTCTGTGAAACATATATATAGCGGAGGGGGGAAGAGAGAGGGGGAGAGAGAGAGAGAGAGAGAGAGGGGGGGAGAGAGAGAGAGAGAGAGAGAGAGTAGTTAGTTTAGTTAGTAGTAGTTAGTTAGTATTAGTTAAT